ATATTCTGTGTGTGCGTATATATATATATATATATATATATATATATATATATATATCTGTTGACTTTATGTGAAGCCTAGTGTCTATGGATGCTAACAGCCTGTTAGCAGGGATGACTGAGCAGCTGTCTTGCTCTCTTTACTCACCGACTTGGTAAAGCCTGCCCTCCGGGGAGAAGATGGTGATGTGGCGGTCGAACCCTGCACTCGACCCCCGAGACATTGTGACAGGGAATCAGTGAGGTGAAATAAAAAGAGAAAGTTAATTAAACTGAAACCAAACGTCCAGGCAAGAGAAACAACAACATGGAAGAATCTATGAACCGGAAGTGAAAGGCCGATAAATTCCATATCCGGGTCAAATCGGTCAGAGTTGTAGTTTTTTTTAAAGAATTTGTGTTTTCAGAACTGTAAAAGTAAAAACTACAGATTTAACAGCTGTTGTCTCTGAGTAGAAGCCTCTTATGGATAAAAAAAAAAAAAAAATGTAATACTCATGGATAGACATTGTTTCTGCATAAATTTAAAGTGGTGCTATACAAGCTAGTTCGAATAGTTTTTATAAAACTACAGTTAATTATGAGCTACAACGGAGATTCAACAAATGTGTTAAGTTCAACAATACAAGTATCTTATAATTATTACAGTAAAGTTATCTGATATTTAGTTGTTTTCTGTCGCAAATTTGATTCAGCAAGACAGCAAAAATCAAGAAATTAAAATCTGTGAAAATATTTGCAGCACAACAAGGTAGATAGCCTCTAGCTTGTCTTATTCTGTGCAAAGTTCCTTTGGACACTGCAAAAAAAAAAAAAAAAAAAAATCTAAAGAAGTTATTTTTCTCCCTCAAAATAATTGCATTTTTCTTGAACTTAGGAGGTTGGCGAGACAATTTGACAATGGAACAAGACATTTTACATAAAAAAAAAAAACAATTGCATTGCCTTATTTCAAGTGCATATTATCAAAATATCTTATTTTAAGAGTAAAAATATTAATTCCATTGGTAGATCATGTTTTTACATATTGAAATTAAAGGTTAATACACTTAAAGACATTTTTTACATATTTCTAGATCATTTTTAGGTAGAGATACCTGCTTATCTTTAAATTCAAATTAATTTCATTTTGTCCTAAAGGCTGGATATTTTGTCCCCAGGTAAACGTAAACTAAGATCCCCCACATAAGACTTTTAAAACCTTGGTCCAAAGTACAGCTATGTTGTCTTTGTTGTCCTAACTGGAAACAAAACAAAAAAAACACTGTACCCTCAGCATAGAGTAGCATATACATCTGGAACCATAACCAGTTCTCCTACAAGGCAGATCTATACTAAAAAGTTTCCAGAACTGAGCCTCGCAATACACCTGTATTTATTTTTAGAACATTTCTTTTCTTTCTTTTTTTTTTTCTTATACTTCGAAGTATATCGAAGTATCATTTTTGTTTATAGAAATCTAAAAAACACTACTGCATCAACTTTACCCCAATAAAGAGATGACGAGTAAAAAGACTTTACAGGACATGACTGCTCAAATCAATTTTCATGTTTTTAAGTAAAATTTGAACAGCAGAAGTTTAATAACACAATTTACACAAACTGAGTAAAGTTTTATTCACAAGTCCACATTCATATTCACAAATGTTCAAATAAAATATTTTTGTTCATTTGTTTTTTGTTAAACACAGCCACTGTTGTGGTACTTCATAAGTGCTTCTGTCCTCGGTGTCATCGTAGGGAATGTGCCAGCTGTCTGCTGTAGACTGGACAATGGTGTCAAAGGAGGGAATACTCTAAACAAATGCAAAGAGGAAATCAGTCTCAATAATAAATACATTATTTTATTTTTCATTGCAACTTTGTACATTAGCCATTTCCTTTTGATTGATATTATACATATAAAAAAGGAACAAGTATCAACACAGGCTCTTTTAATTATTTCACAGTATGTGCTGATAAGAAATCAACCCAACTTTTAACCTTTAGAACTTTACGTTTTTTCCAGGAGTTGTTACCTCACATCTGCTCACCTGAAATCTTACCCTCCTGCCGGGTGCCACATAGCCAACCACAACCAGCTGATGGCCTCTCTGCCACTTGAAGAAGAGCCGCCTAGTTGCCCCCCCAGGCAGGCAGGCCTTATGGTCCCTCATCAGGTCCCTGCTCACAAACCGGCAATGGTTTCCAGAGTGCAAAGTCGCATACAGCAGGAATGGGTCATCCTCAGATCTAATAAGAAGGTACAAATTAATGCAATGTAAACCAGCAGGAAATACAGAAGTTTTACATACAGTTTTGAGCTAATTAGGAATTTAATTAGGAATTTGACTTATTTTGCTTATTTTAATTGTAAAATTAGAGTCTACATTTTAAACTTCTTTCATGCAGCTTTAATAAGATGATGTATTTCTATTTTGCATAGCTTCTGGGCCAACATAGATGAGAGAATGGTGCTTTCTATTACATTCAAAGCTACCCCTCCATTTCAAAGGCCTGGTCCAAATCAAAGCTTAATCAGAGTAAGTTTAATAATATTTTTTTTTCTTTTATATTGTTGCATTCTCACATGTTATCTGTAAAGAAACAATGGGCTTTCTGCTGGATGAGGCTCATGTTGTGTCTATCCCAGGACCTTGAAGGCCTCAACATGTGTTTTCTCCCCAGCACCAGGACGTTGAGGCCCTGACGCTCAAGCTCCGATACCACTGTCAACAACTGCAACGACACATGAGAGCCTTAAATCAGCACCAATTTGAACAAATTTTTTATATTTAGAGATAGAAAATCCAAAGTGATTCAGAAGCAGTTAAACAATATCATCCCAAGTGGCTAAAAGAGTCCCATAAAATGGCTGTAAAAAGCATGAAAATAAAGTCATTTAACTGCATAAAAAAACAAAACAATATATATATATACATAATGTTAATTTTAAGAAGCCGCTCAGCAGAGCTCGAGCCTTTCGACCACTCTCAAACAGTAACACAAAAATAACCCTTCATGAATCAGAGCTTTAAAATTTCAATATCTTTACCTAGCTTTGTTTAATGACGCCAGCATTCAGCAGAATTCAGCCAATATTTACATTTTTCATTGGTACAGCTCATTTCTGATTGATTTCACGCAGTCATTTGAATAAAAACTCCTGCCTTTGGTCCTAATGTAAATTTCTGTAGCTTTAATTCCCTGCCTTTATTTTCGGTTTCCCAAAAGCTGCAGCAAGATGACTAGATAGGTACACTATCTTATCTGTCTGTACTTTCCTGCCCTGCTGCTACATAATGTATATGAAGACTCACACAGAGTAGCAGAGAGAGACAGACACATGTGGGCAGTCAGACAAGTAGGTTTGGTAGATTTAAAATCAGGTATGGGACGGTTTTAGCACACATCTAAGATTGAGGCAGAGCAACACACTGCACGGTTATTCATTGTGAAAGTGGCAGAAAACCCCCATTGAAGGGAGGGAAAAAAGTCACTAAAATCTACACTGTAAAACTAAGCTTGTGCACCTGAGAAACAGGAACATATAAAACAGATCCTGTAACGATTTTAGCCGTTAAGAGCATTCTAAAACTAGGAATCTGTTTGGATTCTCACCGTCTCTGACTGCTTGCTTTTGTCCTTGTTGGTGTTTGCAACGTTCAGCCCATCTATGACCACATCAAAAGCTGGCTTCCTCTTCACAAACACTTTAAAGCGCTCCAACTCCTGAACAGAGCCAAAAATAGACACAAAGCAAAGAGATAGGAGGCATGTTCTAAGACTGAAAATGGAGGTTTAAAAAAAACATAGCCTAGAAAAGTGTTTTAGTGCAAGAAATCAGTTCTTTTTTCAATGCAGCTTAAGCTTCAAAAGCCTTAAGAGAAATGTAAATGTAGGTGTTATCTGATACACAATAGGGATGCAAAAAAAGGCAAGAAAAAAAAAACCTAGAATAGACCACAAAATTAATGAAAGCTATAAAAACAAGTTCTCTGAAACCAGAAAGGTTAGTTAAATACTAATTTCGGTATAAAATATGATAAAAATGGTAGCACTGAGGTTAGCAGCATTCCTACCACTTTGCATGGTTAACTACTTTTTAGTTTAAAATGTCTGGACAATATTAATATTCCAAATTAGGTTTGGTTGCTTTATTGAGCATTCAGAGGCCCCACAGTAAACTATATTTTAAGTTTAATAGAGCTTCACTGTTGTAATATATAGCAAGAAAAGATGGTTACATAAACTGGTATATATATTAAAACTATAAATTCCTTGTTTCAGCTCAGACAGGGTTACCAAAATTCTTAACGTGTTAAAAGTTGAAATATTAAATGTGCATACAGATGTCTTTGAATAGGGAAAGCCATGTATAGACATGTAAGCCATCAGTAGCTTTGTAAGCTACTGATAAGTTAAAAGCAACACTGCAAAGATACAGAAATCAAGGGGATAAACAAAATTATCAGAAGGAGAATTGTGAACCAAAGGACTGTTTTATACTTGCATCTGATTTTTAAATGTCTGAAGGCACAATCTTTATCTGTTCCACTTATTTTAAGCATATTTATGCCTTAGGAATTTAACATAAATCATGATTAGAAGGTAGACTAGTTCTCTGTGTTCTATGTAGAGATGCTGGCTTCAGCTGGGCAGAATATGATATAGCGTGAAATAAGTTCTCCATTTAGTCACTCAGCAAGGAAGAAGCCAATTATCCAAAGGCAATTTTAAAAAGCAGAAATACAGTTTGCAAATTATCCCAGGGACAAAAATCTTAATTTTAATTTAATACATGCCAGACATGTGATGAAACTAAAATGAAAGAGTTTGACCATAATGGCCACTTTTGGATTTGTACGAAAAAGGGGGATGCTCTAGCAGTGAGAAAATAAAAGAGGGAGTGCCTTAACTGGTCAGATGGTTAGATGCTTAGAACAGATCAATATGTGGACGGACCATAATTTTCTACAACTAAATAAAAACAAACTTAGGTAAAGGTAAAGAAGAAATCAAGAGTTAGATTACAGCTTTAGCTACTACGCTAGAAAACACTGACTATGGCCGAATTCTTGGTGTCATGATGGAGTCAGACCTGAACCTTCAGAGATGACAGCAGTTACTGTCAGCCTTTTATCACCTAAAGAACATTTCCAAGATTAAAGGTTAAAGATTAATGTCCAAGGAAAAAAAACTCATTCATGTTTTTATCTTTAGTAGAATTGATTACTGCAACTGTGTCTTCATAGATTTGCCTAAAAAGTCCATCAGACTGCGGCAGGTGATCCAAAACGCTGCTGCCCATGTTCTCACTATGACAAAGAAAGTAAAGCACATCAGCCCGGTTCTGAAGTCCTACCACTGGCTCCCTGTAGTTCAGAGAATAGACTTTAAAATCCGTCCGTTTGTCTATAAATCACTGAATGGATCAGGACCTCAATACATAACAGATTTATTGTCAGTGTATCAACCTCCCGGACCGCTCAGGTCTTCTAGATCCAGGCTACTCTGTACACTCAGAACTAGAATCAAACATGAAGAAGCAGCATTTAGTTCCTATGCTCCACCTATCTCAAACAAACTCCCAGACGACTGTTAAAGTGCTGAAAGCCTGAGTTTAAGTTAAAGTTTCAAAAGCCATTTGTTTAGAGCTGCCTTTGACTGTTAAATATTAACTGCTAACTGAGGCATCGTTAGTTTAAGCCGTTTTAATAATTTTTTTGCTACCTGCATGTACATGTTTTTATTTGCTTTGCCTCAGTTTTTAATACTTCTATTTTATCGCCTAATTCATGTAAAGCACTGTGGATTAACTATATTGGGTTTTACAAAAGAACTTGCCTTCCCTTGCATTTAAGCTCTGGTACGTCATTAAACTGTGTATTTTTGAATTGATCTCTGGTCAAAGAATGTTATTTAATACAACTACCCACCAGATTCTACACTGACTTGCTAAACCTTTTGAGTCTTACGACCCATCTTTACTATAAGAAAATCTTTATTTGATCTTTATTTTTCAGCAGAATTATTTTTAAACCCAGTAATAAAACATTGAACCACAATCAGGAAGAGGGTTCATCATAGATAACTAAATATGGTAAGTAAGACTATCAGTCACTGCTTAAAAAGAGGACTTGGAGGAAAAAGTTATGCTTGATTTGACTTTTTTCCATCTCTCATAATGTAATTAATTATTTGGGCCAACTAAAGCTTTAGAATCAGTGCTTTGGCCTGGCAAAGTGGTGTTTTGTCAGGTATAGGTTGGTAACGTGGATGTTTAGCAGAGATAACCAGATGAAGGAGAAACAGGAAGAACCCAGAACACCCCTATAATCTTTTCTTCACAGTTAAAAACCCTGAGCTCTTGAATTGTTTAGAATAAACAACCAAAGAACAACATAACCTTTTATGAACATGAACAAATTCTTAAAGTGGCACTATGTTCTATGCATTTATGAAGTTTATTTAATATGCAACCCCCTGAAACATTACTTAATTTATCTGAACCTTTCTTCTCCATTTCACTCTGCATTATTAATTATTCACAGCACAACATGTGATAAAAATGTGCGTCTAAATGAGCTTTTCCGATAAGTCAAATGATTTACTGACAGATTTTCTCTCTGAATAGATTAGGGTTTTTTTTTTGTTTCTTTTTTACTGTCTTTCATTTTTTTGCCGATGGCTATGTTTACTATCCAAAGCAAAAAGCTTGAACTGCAGCAGCAGAAATCGAGTGGTATAGCGAGAAGGGAACTGAAAACATGCAGAGAAAGACGGTAAAGTTCTCCAACAGCAATAGCTTCAAGGGTTTGTTCATTCATTTACTCCAGAAATGAATCTGGATTCCACCTGCAGGATCACTTGTCCGTTGATCGGAAAAATCACTTATAATATTACATGCAGTCATGTTTAAGATCATTAATGCAGTTCTGTGCAAGGATAGGAAAAATGCATCTGGTTTTCTTGTCGATGTCTCTAATGTTGCTCTGCAGCTTCGTACCATTGCAGGAAAGTTACACCAAAGCTCAGAATAGAGCTCCAGCATGACAACGTTCTCGGTGCTTTCACTTTTAGATAGCAGCGATATGGAAATAGGGCTTCTGTGAATTCCCCTGGACCTGAAACTTGAAAATGTTTGCACAGTATCATTAACATTCAGTCCCAAACGATGCCCTAAAAATGCAAAAAAAAACTTTTTGGTTCTGAAATGTGGAAAAAAACAATTTTTGGAGTTTAGCGGCTCTGTGTTTTTTTTTAATAGTCAATTTAAATAATACCAACTGCTGCTAAAGAGGTGCTGCCAGTTGAAATAACATTGTAGGTTGGAGTGACCACAAAGGTCGGGGGTTTGAGACTTAAGACTGTTACTGTCCCACTGAGGGACGATAAGTTCTAAAAGGAACAAGTTTTAGATTTGTAGTTTATTCCTAACCTTTATTTTATTTAGTAACCACTGCTTATTTTACAATAACATATAATTCAAAGTTTACAAACTTAGAACCAAAACTGAAATGATTAAGTTGAATTTCTAAGCCAAACATTTTGTGGAAGTTTGTTGCCTTAAAATTCAGATTTTTGCAAACCTTTCCTTTTTTTTATTTTGAGTTTTTGTACAGTGAATATGCTTAGCTGTACCAGTGAGTGTTTGCTCACTGGATGCTGAGACAAAGACTATCATTGAAGGAAAAGAGTAAAAGAAAAGCCTAGAGCAAACAAAGAAGGAAGAGAAAGATAGAAACAAAGTCCAGTGTAATTATCCAGGGACTTTCCAAAGCTGATATCTGAGACCGGCTCATTGTGCTGATGTGGATAATACTGCTGCTTAAAACACACACTCCTACATCCGTATACACAGGCTTGAGCTTACATTACCATTAAAGTGCACTGTTATCACAGTTTTCTAAAAAAAAAACAGCACCAGTGACTCAGAGCTGCAGAATATACATTTTAGCTGATTGAGGCTCTGCTCTTATTCTAACATAGAACAAACTTACATTATTAGTCAACAGAAAAGGAACATCCTGGTTAAAATTTGTTTTAATAATGTTGCATTTCATGCAAGAATCAGCCTTTTTACACTCTGCGGTCAGTCTTCATGTTCCTTCCTTTAGTGAGTTTCAGCTCGTAGATGCTGTATTGAGATTTTTTTTGTTTTTCTTGCATCAAACATGCATTTTAGAATGATGTCAGAACAGTTTTAAAAATTATTCGTTGGACGGTAAAACATTTTTGGGCGACTAAAAAAGTTTTTTTTATAAAACGTAGCCAGCCTTTGGCCTTTGCTGAGTTTCTTTAAAAGAAAACCTTCTGTCTCCCCACCCTACCTTACAACAGAGAAACAAAGAGTATGGCACATTGTTTTGGCCTTAACCTGATACTTGATGAACACCTTTCTTCAGTTGGTGTGACTTTCATGCCATTTTTTTTTTTTTTTTTTTGCCTCTTTTAATGATCACCGTTTTTATTGTGTTTGTATAAATTCTAATTTACTCAAAACTCTCTATACCTTTCTTCTCAAGGATATAAAATCCTTTGACAAGCAGATCCCAGTTTCTTTCTAGGGTCTGTGCAGCAAGATGCAACTAAACGAAAGCTGAACAAATGAGAGATGCTTCAAATGATCATAGGTGTGTACTCAGTTCTAATCTGAGCATTTATCTGGCGTCTCTCATTTTATCTTACTAAAACCCGACCCTTTAACAGGAATGTGAGGACTTTTAATGGCAGTTTTCATTTAAGATTCTTCCTGTGCATAGACTCAAACTCACTGCGGATCCAGACATTTGAATTGAGAAAGCTTCCTGGAGAGGTGGCGAAACGTCTTCAAATCTTGGAAACCAAGTCCAGTGGACATTTTTTTGAATTTTTACGAAATGACTATGACCTGGATGACTGAGAACCTTCATCAGCCTATTCTTCCTCTTTTTCATTCATTGAAAGTAAATTTCTGAAAAATTCCAGTACTAAGAACAGCTTCACAATGATGTTTTCACTGTACCATTGCAGTGTATTTGGAAAGGATTTAATCTGAATGACTCACACTTTGAATATGCTGAGCTTTCACAATATATATATATATATACTTATTTCTCGTGGACTCATGAATGTCAGTCCTATTTTGTAATCATGCAAACTATATAATTTTCATTTTATGTAAATGTTTTTGCTCTACTCGCCTAATTTTCCAATGAATTTCCACCAAAAGGAAGCGTAATACAAACCGATATATTTATTTTTTTGCTGTAACCGGGTATGATAACATGCATGCCTTCAAGGAAGGATGTTGAAAACTATAAAATGGAAATTTTGTTTAATTTATGCTTGTTAACCAGCAACGTTTGGGGGGGTGGAGGGGGGTCTAATATACAAATGTATATTAGAACAATATACATTTGTTTTTGTTTTTTTACTAAACCTTTGACATAAAAAAAAAAAATAGAAAATAATACAATTTTTAAATCCAGTTTTATGTATAAACCAGGAGTTTTTAAGGAACATCCTCTTTTTAATCTTCATCTATAATGCTACTTCAAAATTAAATAATTACCGTATTAAAGAAAATAATGTTATGCAGATTTTTTTTTTTGTTTAAATCTTAAGCTGTCTTATCTCCTAACTAGGCAAGAATAGAAAATACCTTTATTGTCCCACGATGGGGAGATTCTGGTGTTTACAGCAGCAAAAAGATTATAGAAACTATTGGGTAAACCCTCACTTAAAATGTTTAGAATGTCCTTTTAAAGACCTGATTTTAACTTTTGCAAAATGCTGAGGTTTTAAAGTTAGAAGCGACCAATTACAAACAGTTACTTAAGACTGAAAAAAAAACATTTATTTGCCTCATCCTAATCTAAAAGGCTACTGATAAAGCATATATATTTGATTTGTAACGCTGATATAAAAATTATGACCTGTACTTCCAGGGATATGTTTTTTTGCTGCCAGTTCCATCATGCTTAATCCTCAAAATAAAAAGCTGGGTTTTTTTCTTTTCCAATTTTACAAAGTAAAACAACATTGTAAAAAGCCCATGTATGCCTCACTCATAAAATCAACTAGCCAAATTCAGCGACCTCCTGCTGTCTAACCTCTCTGGTTTATTTTATGCAACATAGGATAAAATGTGGTGTATATCAGTTTAATCAATTTAACTGTTATTCATGGCTACTCACTATATACATCTTCAAGCATTTCCATCATACGCATAGAATCTGTTCTTTTTACATTTATAAAAAAAAAGCTGTTTTAAACCTAAAGCTTCAAGGTTGGGTCCAGCAATGGAGCTTTTTTTCTTCGGTACCTTGAGCCAAATATGAAAGTGAAACCCAGCACAGAAAAAGAGCTAAAGAGGTAAATGCCAACTTCAGGTGTTAAACTGTCTGTTGTATCTGTGTGTCAATGATGCCCTCTAGCAGACGCATGAGACATCTGACAGCTTACTTCTACTTGCAAGCATAGACCTGCGCACAGCTGGAAGTTTCTCTTTCCTTTTTTATGATACAAAACTTACTTGAAACATAAATAGAGGCTGTTGTCGAGAAAAAAATAGTCTCTTAGTCTTGTTAAATGTAAATTGACCAAAACTGAGCGTCTCTGCTATTTTGTTAAATTGCAGTTATATTGCAAACCCAATTAACTGCCCAGCCCAAACAATACCATTAAAAATCTGTAGAGTATTAATTAAACCTTAATGAAACAATCAGAGACTGTGGGGAACATAGATCTGTCTCCAGATCATAGAAGGGAGAATCGTTTAGCCTACAGGGTATGTAATCTGTAGGTAGGTAAAAAAATAGGTCCCTGTAAGATAATCAAAAAATTGATAACGTAATGTTACACAAAAATGTATTACATCACCTATTTATACCTGTTTTTGTGTTAATGCGTACCTCAGGAGTGGTCTTGTTGAATACATCTTGCCCCTGAATGATATCAGCCATGACTCTGTCCTTTAGTTCCTGATACTCCTCGGCACTCAGCTGGATAGACTCCAGTTCTGACCCACAACGACTGCACAAACCCCTGAAATAAATAAAAAAATAAATAAAATATATATATATATATATATATATATATATATATATATATATATATATATTCAAAAGTTTGGGGTCACATTGAAATGTCCTTATTTTTGAAGGAAAAGCACTGTACTTTTCAATAAAGATAAGAAATTGAAGATTTCCTACAAAGGTGTGTAGTACTCCTTTCAGAGGACAGCACAAACAGGCTCTAACCAGAGTAGAAAAAGAAGTGGGAGGCCGCGTTGCACAACTGAGCAAAAAGATAATTACATTAGAGTCCCTAGTTTGAGAAACAGACACCTCACAGGTCCCCAACTGGCATCTTTATTAAAGAGTACCCGCAGTAGCCTGATTGTGCTGTCCTCTGAAGGGAGTAGTACACAACGTTGTAGGAAATCTTCAATTTATTAGCAATTTCTCGCATGGAATAGCCTTCATTTCTAAGAACAAGAATAGACTGTCGAGTTTCAGATGAAAGTTCTCTTTTTCTGGCCATTTTGAGCGTTTAATTGAGCCCACAAATGTGATGCTCCAGAAACTCAATCTGCTCAAAGGAAGGTCAGTTTTGTAGCTTCTATAACGAGCTAAACTGTTTTCAGATGTGTGAACATGATTGGACAAGGGTTTTCTAATCACCAATTAGCCTTCTGAGCCAAAGAGCAAACACGTTGTACCATTAGAACACTGGAGTGATAGTTGCTGGAAATGGGCCTCTATACACTTATGTCGATATTGCATCAAAAACCAGACAATTGCAGCTAGAATAGCCATTAACAACATTAGCAATGTATAGAGTGTATTTCTTTAAAGTTAAGACTAGTTAAAAGTTATCTTCATTGAAAAATACAGTGCTTTTCCTTCAAAAATAAGGAAATTTCAATGTGACCCCAAAGTTTTCAACTGTATATATATATATATATCCCTTCAACAAATTGTAGAGGACATCACAAACAAGTAAATACTATCTTTACTTTGGAGTAACACTGCTCCAGTCTGCTGTCCATTTCTCATCGTTAAGGCTGAAAAAACAGACACAAAAATATAAACAGAGAAGAGAGGTCGCGATACATTTTTAATGGAGCTTCAATGCAGCTTTTCTGTACCTCTCAAACCAGTTCTTTATCCTGTTGACGACAGTCTGCTGAGGATAGATCTGGTTGTTCCTCATGTACATCAGGATTCCCAGCAGCTTCTCATGCTGCTCTGACTCACTCATGACTGCCATTTCTTTTTCCCCCTCGATCTGCTTCACCCCAGTAAAAAGAACATCCCAGGTCTCCTGATGAGGACTCAATCCCTTTTCAATTAATTCATCGTACAGATCCCAGGCAGTTGTTGCATCCCTGTGATGAACTGATGCCGCAATAACATCACCATAATTCCGTGGTGACGGTGTGAAAACCTTAAAAAATAAAAGTTAAACATCAATTAGGGAAGAATCCGTGCCATGTACTCTCCTTAACAACCATGTACTTCTTCACCTTCTTGACCTCTTGCAGGATCTCTATGGCTTCCTTCCACCTTGCAGTCCGGCTGAAGGACTTTATAAAAAGGCTTGAGGCCCCTGTGTCCAGGGACGGGAAACTTCCACGCATGATTCTGTAGACGTCAAACACCTCATCGTCGTGGCCACCGCTCTCACACAGTTTCAGGTAGCGAAGCAGCAGCTCGTAGGACAGCGTGCCCACTTCCACCGCCACAAAACTCAGCAAGGACCTAAGAGAGAGAAGAACTTTGCTTTGTTAATATGTTTACCATAAACACCAAAATAATTCTGTTTGAGAAAAGGACTAAATTGTCTTACTTTGCGATGTTCAGCTCCGATCCAGAAGCAATCAAAGTGCTCATCATCCGGATGTCAAAACGTTCTGGGTTTCCAAAAGATTCCTTCAGTTTCTTCCACTCAGCAGGAGGCAGAGGCCGTTCAGGAGCCTGAAGCTTTCCTATGATATAAAGCATTTTTGTCATATTTTGTGCAGCCCTAATGGACAGCTATTGTTAGGTCATTCCACAACTTTACAGTATACACATCACCCAGTTTGGTGCAGGCTAAAGATATTTGCATTAAACTCTTGTTCAATAAAAAGATAAACCTTTCTTGTGTTGTGAAGATATATCTCTCAAATGGATTTTCCCCACTGTAGGTATTTGGATTTCTTCTCCACATTCAAAAACCTTCCTACCTGGTCTTGTAGCTGTCCTGCATCCATCCTCCCCTCCCTGTTGCTCCTCTTCCTCAGAGACTGGTGGTGCTTTCTGCCTCATCAGTTCTGCTGTCCTCTTTGCCGTCCCGGCGGCAAAAACAGATTTGGGGTAGGAGTTCTGCCACAGCTTTTTGGAGTTACTACTTGTTCCACTCTCTGTGACCTGCCTATTATTTCTGTTTGCTATTCTAGTCTGTCCAGTACTGTTTCTGTCCACTTGTCTTCCCCCAAGGTTTGGTTTAATATCCTTTGTGCATAAAAAACGTGCTGTTGAAGTCAGCTGAGGTGGCATGAAACAGATTCTGACTTTTAATAAAAAGACAGAACCCATGTTTGGATGTTTAAATCTAAAAAATATCCCCATGTACCTGAAGCGACAAAAGTCTTTGACAAATATTAGTATTTGTACTATATAATGAGCCTATTAGTATACAAGTATTTTCTACACAAGAATTGTGCATTCTGTAGGGATCATTGCTTAGCAAAATAGCCTGCCTGTTGCAAACCGACTTCACGGCTTACAAATACCGTGGACAGCTTAAACTAGAGTCAAAGATGTTTTAGAAATAACTATTTATTTATAAATATAACTCACAACAAAGAAAAAATGTCCAAAAGTTGAAACAGTTCAAGCTGTGCTCAACTAAAGGCATGATTTCCAGGACGCATAATGTTGAGGTCATCAAGAAAAGACGGGCTTCTAATGCTGCATTCAAGGTACCTCGGAAAAAGATTTCATTAAATCAACTTCAAGAATTTGTTCAAGGATTATATCTTGAAAATTATAAATGGTTACTCTGAAACGTTTTATTTGTTGAGAAGTATAAACTAGAGAGTCCACCGTATGGAACAGTTGAAAGTGTCGGCATTTTTCATAATAAGAAGCTGGAAATTCCATAACAATTAGATTGAACACAGACCACACTTTTGGGGTGTTTTCATAATAACAGCAACGATGCAAGAAATTAGTATTTAATACGAAATAAGTACAAAAAATAATCACTAAACATTTTATTAACCAATTTATAACTATTTACAAATCTACAACGTGTTAATATAAACCTTTTGATGGACTTCACAGACATCCTACTTTTATTATGAAAGTAAAAGAAGTTCACCGGAAGTGTCGGTTGAAACCAGTTTTGTTTTTTCTTTGCGTATTTCTCTAGCTAGTAGCATTTACTGTTTTCATTAAAAAAAAAACGGATTTAGTTTAATTTTATCGGCCAGAATGGCTAAAGGGGAAGAGACCCATTGGTCGGATATTCTGAAAAGGAGGCTGGGCGGCCATAAAAAAGGTCAGAAAAATTAAAAGCTTAAAAAGTTTAAAGAGTAAGGTTGATGCGGTTTTGATTATTTGTTTCTGCTTTATCATATCCTCTCTTAAATAGACGAGAGGGACGAAGACGAAAAGAAAGCAGAAGAAACTGAACTTTTTACCAAATATTACACGGAATGGAGAAGCGGAGTGGAGACAGATGAATCCTACAAGACTATTCCACGGTTCTATTACAAGGTAACTCATTCAAAATGAAAACAACAACAACATAGGTTAGACTTGAAGTATTGGCAATGGTCATAAAAAAGATTTTAATTAGTGATTATGTTGTGAAGCTTCCAGCAGAAGATGAAGTTCTCCTACAGAAACTGAGAGAAGAATCCAGGGCTGTCTTCCTGCAGAGGAAAAGCAGAGAGCTGCTAGATAATGAAGAACTTCAGGTCAATCATCCATTACATCATTCTTTCCATCCATCTATCTATTGATCTGTACAAACACCCATCTATCCTGTCTAACTACTGTTGAAATATCTGGCCTATCTGTGGAATTTATTCCTTTAAAAAAAGACAAAAATGTCAGGATTCAGGTTATTTTAATTTAGAAGAGTATAGCACTTTGATCTGAAAAAATATATTCTAGATCCTAGCTCAAAACTCACTCGTTTCTGTGGTCCTCTTTTTATGTGTTCAAATTGATTTCCTTTTTACCATTTGTTCTTTCCTTTGATAGAATTTGTGGTTCCTTCTTGATAAACATCAAGTCCCACCAGTAAATGGAGATGAAGCGATGATCAACTACGAAGCCTTCCTTCAGGTTGGAGAAAAGGCGGGACCAAAGTGCAGGTAGGTCTGCTGAATTTAAAACTGTTTCTCTTTGTATCAAAGCTGGAAGTGAGACCAGCTTTTATTCACTTTAATACTTGATGGGCTCAAATAACTAGCAAGTCAGCCACTAGTTATTTGAGTTATCTACAAATTAGAAATAAAAAAAAAAACTCTGGCTAAATCCCAATGATTTCCCGGGCCGTAAGGTAATTTATACTCCCTTCACCCAATTCTCCAGTCTTCTACTCGTGGAAACAGTTCAAAGATATCCAAAGCTATTTGTGTGTGATAGAGTATCCCAGCTTGTTTCTGAACTTAAGTTCATTTTATTCAAGGTCTCATTCATTTTATAATTGACCCAAACACAGTAATATAATAATTTAGTTTATACATGCAAATGTAGTTGTTGTCACATTGGTCAGATATAAATGCTTACAAGATATAGAAAACAATTTTGTTACTAAGTCGAAATATTCCAGATTTTAAAGGACTCTAATTATCAGATTCTACATGTTTAATTTGTTTTTTCTCCTATAGGAATTTTTTTACAGCAAGAGTGTACGCCAAGTTGCTTAACAATGACCCATACGGCCGCATATCCATCATGCAGTTCTTTAACTACGTCATGAGGAAAGGTTTGGATGTACTTTTTGCTTTTTCGTTTTCAGGTTTAAATTGTTTGTGGTTGCTGCTCATGTCTGTTTTTTTTTCTAGTTTGGTTGCATCAAACCCGAATAGGTCTGAGTCTGTATGATGTTGCTGGACAAGGCTACCTCAGAGAGTCTGTAGGTCCTATTTCCACTTTAGATGAATATAAATGCTATTTTTCTCTTTAGAAAATGGCATTGATGTTTCTCCGTGTGTGTAGGATCTAGAGAACTACATCTTGGAACTGATCCCGACTCTGCCCCAGCTAGATGGACTGGAGAAGTCCTTCTACTCTTTCTACGTCTGCACAGCTGTTCGCAAATTTTTTTTCTTTCTCGACCCACTTCGCACCGGTAAGTCTAAACTTGACTCTGATCTGCTGCTGTTTTAACTTAGAAATTAAGAGAATGCAGCTATGTGCTTATGCAGAAATCTGCAGCTGTACTTGAAAGCTTACATACCCTCCGAATAAAGAAAATGATAAATTTACACTAGTAATTCATGTAATACAAAACTTTAGAAAGCAATAATACATGAAAATGTATTATTAATATATTATTACTAAATCATAATTTAGTAAAATAAAATATAGATTTTTTATTTTTTTAATAATTCTAAAAAAACAAACTGTTGCAGAACAATTAAAGCACATTGCTCATGAACAGGGAACCTATCAACCAGGTGCAAAGTGAACATTTCATGAATTACTTTTGACTATTTATTTTAATGGCAGCTAATATTTTTCTGTCTTTAATGGAAGAGTATGTAAACATTCTATCACAACTATATAATGAGCCTAAAGCTCTCATCTTGATCGCATCATTGAGATTAATCATGTGCATAATTCAGTGTAGTAAAAAATGTAATATTTCCTTTAACAGGGAAAATAAAAATCCAGGATATCTTGGCTTGCAGTTTTCTTGATGATTTGTTAGAGGTATGATTATTTCCTTCTCATGTCTCCCTGTGATTGCTAAATGGTATCTAAAAAATGTAATTAAAGATACTAAACCATAACCTCCTGAAGGTATTCAGTCTTCTGTTCCTGTTTTTTTTTCTCCTCTATGCTAGTTGAGAGATGAGGAGTTGTCTAAAGAAAGCCAGGAGTCCAACTGGTTCTCTGCCCCGTCCGCTCTCAGAGTCTACGGTGAGAAAAGGCTCCAGCGTCTTAGTGTCGCTGTTTGTTCAGGTGATCCTGTTTTTCTTTAATCTAGTTTTTGTTTTGTGTGTGTGCATGTTAACAGGCCAGTACCTGAACCTGGACAAAGATCACAATGGCATGTTGAGCAAAGAAGAGTTGTCCCGCTACGGCACGGCCACTCTCACTTCAGTCTTCCTCGACAGAGTGTTTCAGGAGTGTCTCACCTACGATGGAGAAATGGTACAACATTGGGCATGGAGATGATTCCTGAAACACCAGCACTGTTGGAAATACTGTGTAGCAATAGAATGTTTTAATAATTTATTGATCTTCTCAGTCTATATATCTATATATAAAACAAGATCAAGCTTTAGCTCCTTACTGAGGGGATGTACTGTAAGGGGATGTGCTAACTGTGCTAATCACAACAATAACTTGCAAAAAAAACTCAAATGGTGTAAATTGTGCACTCCATACTTGTCCCTCTGTTTTAGACAGTCCTTAAACCCTGTTTTTTTTTTTTTTTCGAGATTTATCTCTTTCCCATGTTATTTCACCACTAATAAGAATAATATTGAATAAGTACTCACAAAGTCTAAAAGATAAATACGCCAATCAAAGCCTTACAGCAACCTGGGATCGGTCACAAATGTTCTTATCAGTGCGTCTTCAGTTGTGCCTTTTTAATTCTGAACGGTGCTCTACAGCCAGATTACCTCACTTCGATATTTGCCTAAACATTGTGTACTCACTTCTCTTCTGTCTCCAGGACTATAAGACCTATCTGGACTTTGTGCTGGCTCTGGAAAATCGGAAGGAGCCTGCAGCATTACAGTATATTTTTAAACTTCTGGACATGGAGAATCAGGGTTACCTTAACGTCTTCTCCCTCAACTACTTTTTTAGGGTAAGACATACATAAGAAGAAAGTGTGAAAAATAAAACAAATTCTAACCCTTGATACTTGTTTTTTTACTTCTGGTTTATTATTTTGTTTTTTTTTTTCTTCCCTCAGGCCATTCAGGAGCAGATGAAGCTGCACAGCCAGGAGCCTGTTTCTTTCCAGGATGTGAAGGTAATGCAAGCACAGAAATATTTTTGGGGCTTTAACAATGACCTTTGCAGCAAATTTGATATGATTTCCTCTTTCAAACGCTGCTTTAAACAGGATGAAATCTTTGACATGGTGAAGCCCAAAGATCCATACAAGATCACCCTCCAGGATTTGGTGAATAGCTGCCAGGGAGACACAGTGGTCAGCATCCTGATCGACCTCAACGGGTTCTGGACCTACGAGAACAGAGAGATGCTGGTCACCAACGACGACAGCAGCAGCAATACGGCGGACTTTGAAGACACTTGAAGAGGATCCTGATGCATCTGAGAACAGGAGGACGGGAGTGGCTCGATTTAAAAAGTGATTGTATATAGAAAGTATGACTTGGACTCAAATCTAACTTGTAGACAGTATAGTGATGTTTGCTACCTTCATCTAAAATAAAGATTTTTCATTTACACTGCAGAAACATTACCTGCTGGTTTGCTTGTTTATGATTTTTTTCTTTTAAGCTCAATTGTAAACAAAGTATTAATCAAGTCAGACATTTCTCTTCACTCATCAAACATATTAATGTCAGATTTATTTTAAACTTTTAACAATTTTATCAAACACTTTATATGGGAAAGATTCCTCTATTATTTTGGCTCATATTTTCATGATGGCCTCACTCGTTGCCAGGCTGCATACAATGTGAATCTACTGTCATTTAAG